ATGATAAAAGCAAGATGATTTATTATATACTAGAGAAGAAAAAAAGAAAAAAATTCATCAACTATTCCCTCACAGGGGTCAGTACAATATAAGGAAAATAAGGACAAATGTACAAAACCAACCTGACAAGAAGGCTCTAGATGAAACTTGTTCAAAGCACTTGCACATGATGTTGCTGGACAGATGCAGAAGGGAATTAAATCAAGTAATATTTCCCCTGCAAAACAGACTGAAAAGCTGATTTTATTTTTAAAAATCCACAGTCTTGCCTTTACCTGCAGATATTTCAGATAAAAAGACATAATTTTACTTATGATACATTTTTTAAAGGAGAGATTCCCAGAACTACTGCTTGACCACATTTATTTGAAAGTGGCTGTTATTTCCAATTCCAATTCTATGCAGATGGCAAAGAAGCCAGCCCAGCTCAAATCAATAGGAGGAGCTTAGCACTAACTTCAAAGAGACCAGGTCCATTTTCTCTATCTGACAACCACGGCGTTTGTTTTTCCATAATTGCAACAGAAGTCCATCTCATCCAGAGCATCCTTCCGTATATGGTTGTAAAATTAAAAAAAAAAACCAACCAAACAACCACAAAACAAATAACACATATATGAGAAAACATCAGCAGTATGAAATTCCTGAAGGGTTTCAAGGCTTGCTCCTGGTCAACTAAAGTCAACATACTTCAAACTATTTTAGCTGGAGCAGGACCAAATCCTTACAGATCCAGATACACATTCCTCAAAAAGCAAAACCTTAAGAGTGTCATAACCCAAACATAAGAATAAGAGACCAATTTGAGCAACGTACCTTGCATGGTCCTATTCAATGTAACATATTTAGCTAGGGTATTTTATTTACTCCTGACTTGGGCAGGATTCCCATTGGTTACAGCGAGAGTATTCCTTCAGTAAAGTAACAAAAGGACATCATGCATTAGTAAGCTAAAACAGGAACCCGTGCTTATGGCAATAGCTTTCCCATCTCGTGCTCTGTAACAGGCATCCAGAAAAGGAAAAAAGAGAAGAAGCTTTACAGAAAAAAAACCTGCATTTTTTGACATTGATGATCATCCTAAGCAACTCCACAGAAGTTCTCAGGGTTCCTTTTGATATACATCAATAAAGCAAAAAGTCAAAAAAAGACCAGTGTTAGGCAAGATTAGAACACAATTACTCATTAGTGCAGAAAGCAAAATAACAGCTAATGCTTAATACAGAAAAAAAAAAAATCTCACTTTCATACTTCTCACAAATATATGGATTCTATAGTTTATTTCCGTGCCTTAAAAGAAATGCTTAAATGTGGTATGAACTCCAGGTGCCTCTAAAAATATTATCCCGAGTTACCAAAGGAACTATTGGAGGAACAAAAGAAAATTGACATTTAAGAGCAAGTTGCAAGGAAATCCCCATTTTGTTTGGCATGAAAAGAAACAAAGATCCACTGGTTGGATTTGGTGTCAGGATTTTTTTTGTTTGTTTGTTTTGGGGTGGGTTTTGTTTTTGCAGCAAGGGAAAGAAAACAATACACATGTGGGAGGGAAAACATTTTCACCAACATAATAAATACCTGTTCTGACCCAAAAGCAAAGTGCGATGTTGAGTTTCCCATTTAAATTAAAACCTACAGAACAATGCCTTAAATATTAACAAATCAATTAGTGGTCAGCACAGTAAAATAAATACAAACACATTGATTTATATTTTGTTTCTAGCAGCAAAGGTCATTAACCTACTGGCCAATGTGACAGCTTCACAGAAGTCCTGTTTCTTGTGTTTGATACTTTGTTTAACATCAGAAAAAGTTTAATTTGGTCTAGAAAATGGTCCTACAGCTGTACAGTGTCCTCCCCAGCCCACCTACGTCAAACAGAGTTTGGCCAGGATGTGTTTCCAATGGGTTTTGAACACCAATTTTGAGAATGTGTTTTACACAAAGAAAACCAAAATCAGGATCCAGGCAGTTTCTCATCCTGGCAAGTATGATTTGGGATTGGCCCAAACCCTAATGATATTAGTGTGGTGGGGTGTCTCCTTTTTGCAGTCAACAATTTGCTGTGCTGGAGGGAGAGAGGGAATGTCACAAACGATTAAGATATGCTTGAAGAGGGAGAGGAAAGTTTGGTCACTTTTAGGGAAGGACCATAACAAATCACTGGGGCAAAGTGAGCCTCAGCTGCTTCTCCCAGCAAGAAGTACCTTTCCTACCATATAGGAAACCTGTCCTACTCTTGTCACACGAGTCTCACCATCTGCTTTATACCTCCTATACAGCCCACAACTCTAAAATTCTCAGGATGATGACATTCACTTGTTGTACTCCCTTGAACAAAAGAAAGCAGATAGAGGCCTCTCTGCCCAGGCCAGACTCAAGCCATTCCTCAAAACCAGACTCAGCCTCACGCAGAGAGGAGCTCACAGGAACAGCCGCAGGTACCTCCCTCACAAACCAGCACACTGGCCTGCTGTGGCGTGTTCGCATCAGCTGCTGCCAGGAGGTAACAGCACATGGAGCAAACTGAGTTTTGACACCTCCAGCAGCCACTGGAAATGCCACACGAGGAACAGATTGTTGGGCTGAGAGCAGGAGCAGCAGCCAAAGCAAAGTGGTGAACAGTTGTTTTTTGAGACACATGAAAGGAGACAAAAATGCCTTCTTGGCCCTAGCAATGAGCTAGACAACATCAGTACCTACAGCTCCTCCAGCTCATATTTTGTGAAGTGCTGTTCTGCTGCTAATTGCAGCCTGTGGGAAATGTCACACCAATTTCCAGCAAGAGGGATGTTTAACCATAATGTAGGGATCATGCTGGTGAAGCACACTGGTAAGGCTCAGGCAACTCCCTCTCTCCCTGCACAGCAGAGTCAAACTAGCAAAACAAAAGATAGAACACACGAAGAAAACCAGAGCCCTTCTCTGACTGCAAAAGACAAGGGGAAAAGGGCAACAAGAGATTTTTGCAAGGGGAATGTTCTCCAAGGCTGCACACAGGGCAAGCCAGGGGCAGGAAATCACAGGAGAAAGACTTACAGGCTGTCGGAACTGCAACCTGGGCTCCTGTCTTCCTACCTTCTAACGTTCTCCAGTGCACAAACCCTATTTAACCAGGCTTTGCAGAAAGAAGGGGAGGGAATCCCATTCAAGAGAATATCCATTGCTCTGCCTGTATCTGCAGGGCAAGGATCACCATGGAATGATGTAGGGGGTAGCTTTTGACTAATGTGCAAAAGCTCACCTTGCCTGGATTTAGGAAGGCTGCATTAAGGTTGTACAGCTACCTGATGCTCAGGTAGCTAAATATAACAATACTCAATTTCTGAGGAGCAGCCAAGTGCAACGAACCTTTTTGAGGTGGACCAAAAAGATTAATAAAAACTCCCTGGATTTTTTGTGAGTTTACTCATTTTTCATTCTTTAAGGCAAGCAGAAAGTCATTCTGGAATGCAAGAGGCAGGATCAGAACGGCAAGAAAGGGGGTGAGGGAGCTACCTTCAACATGATGCACACAGTAAAAATTATGCCTGGTAAAATGCTACTGAAACCAACAGAGCTGCACCTAATTCAACATACTGCCCAAAAAGTGAGACAAGCCATGATGCTTCCTTGACCCCCTGCCTGCACCTGCCACTGAAGTGGATGAAGCCATACCAGCGTACAGCTGTAGCAGCACAGTGGTGAATCAGGTCCAGTAGAGGTTACCTACATCCTGCACTTACCACTGGAGACCATGTTCCAGGGACACTGTGAACTGGATTCCACTCACAGCTCCCCACATCTATCAAATGAGCAGAAAAATAAATGTCAGCCCTACTTCTGCTCTTTATTCTCTTTCTACTTTTGCTAAGGAAAATCAAAACAGACACACAACCTTTGGGTTTGTCCACACTTACTTACAAAGTTGCTCATCAAGTTTCATGAAAACTTACGTGTGGCCAAAAAGTCGTTCCTCAAACAATCATTGCCCCATACAATTACATCCTACCTAACTTTGGATTTTTGATGGTCCCTAAAACAGCAATGTTCACATCAAGGAATGGAATTAAAACCCATGCTGAGATGGAAAAAGAAAGGGAGAAAAAATTCATCCAATATCGGTAGCTCTACTGCAAAGGACCACTTCAGCTCTCCTCTACAACACCCATTGGGCTTTGTCCAAGGAATGGCATGGAAGTGGGACAGACTGGTATCTGCTCCCCAAGATCCAGGCATTGCTGCTCTCCCAGAGCAATAAATCTGCAGGCCACAGACCAACACTTGCTCTCTTCTACATCAGCATGCAAAGAAATCACAGCTGACAGCTCCTTCCAACCTATTCTCAAGCCTGCTCAGTGTAAAGCAGAATCAGAGCAGGGCACATCTCATCTGAGCAGGTTTGCTTTCTGATTTGCTTCATTCAGCCACTGAGATCCTCCCATACTCTCTTCAGGGAAAGGAGCTATGCCCATGGTGCATTAAGGTACCCAGCCAACAACACTGAGAATCCTTTTTAACTGTTAACTGGGAGAAAAGAGTATTTCTGAATAGGGGTAATCAGCGGATATCCAATGTCAGATGTTCCGAATGAAATCTTCATCATAGAGGAAGTGATAAGAAGCAAGGCCCTCCCAGGAGAAGAGGTATGTACAGCCTTTCTACAAGGATGTGGAAAGAACCTACTCTGGGCTCTAATGGGGGCCACAATCAGCAATTTGTGGATAAGTACACCACCTCATTCACAGGCCCCATTGCTGCCCCTCTTTTACAAGCTGTCCAGCGATTCAGACTGCTGTAGGGAGGCATTTGGGAGCACTTGCTCTGTGGTGTGCAGAGAGGTGAGTGGGCTTTGCATGTGGTCTACCTGTGTGGTAGAACTACAGAAGTTCCCAGCACTTCTTGGGGCCTCACATATTCCTAAAGAAGTCTGGGGAGAAGACTAGGTCCTCCTTGCCACTCAATACAATGAAGAGCCTTAGCTAATTAGCAAAGAAACATCAAAAACACTTCATGTCCTGCACAGCGTCATCCTGCCAAGTATGACAGAAAAAAAATCTAACCATACCATTAAGTTTGCAGGTGTTACATGTATAGCTCGAGAGCATGCTCCTATCGAACGGAGCACAAAGCAGGGCATGTGGCAAACAGCAGGCGAGAGACAAGCTGCTCTAGTTGCAAACTACTGCCGAGGGTGGTGGGTCATTGTACATAGCCCAGGTTCTCCATCTCGCTCCTGTACCGCTGCTCGGACACCTTGCTTTTATGCTGCTTGCTCTCCAGGTGCTGCCTGAACTCCATCTCCTCGCTGGCGCCCGCGTTGCACATGGAGCAGTAGAACTGCCCGCTGGGGGTGACGCACATGGCCAGATCCCGAGGAATCCTCTGGCGGGAGCGGGGATTGAAGTAGGGACCTGAGGAGGCAACAGGAAAGCCCGTTTCAGCTGAAAGAAAGAAAAGCTTGAGGCACCTCAGTGACAAGTTCTAAGTCCAATGTGTGATTAAAAAGCAGCCAAACATTAGCTCCTTTAATGGATTAAAGTCTGAAACTTATTTTCCCACATGACTTATGCACTGGGATCCAGATTTACAGGGGTGCAGCACACAGAGGAGCAGTACTGGCTGGTATTCTCTAAAGCAGTAGAGTGGGCTTAGGGCCTACAATCTTATTCAGAATCAATAGGGCTTTGAAAATCATTTAACTGGTGAATCAGTTATTTTCTTTTTTTTTTTTTAAACTTTCCAATTCCAGAATTAGAACAGTCGTTTGATTAGAATAAGATGTTTCAGTTAAAAATTATCACAAAATGATATCTAATAGACCTATAAAAGATATGGCAGAGATTAGAACAACACAGTTAAACCAAGCTTCACCAGAATCAGGGTTTCAGCTAATACATGCTCATAACACAACTTAAAATGCAAAAGAGAAACAGATGCTGGACTGGACACTACAAAACACACTTTAAATCATAATAAAGAGGCAAAGTTAGCAACAAACACCTGAGGAAGGACTCTAGTCTAGAAACAGATGGTCTTAGAGGGAGGCTAACATGCTCACTCATTCTGGTCATGGGAGCGTAAGTACAGGTTGATGTGCTGCAGTAGGAATCAAAGCACCTGGCCACTGGCCAAGAAAATAAAACAGGAAAACTGTCACCACTTAGAGCAGCCTTGGAGACAGGCAGATGGTAAATTAAGTTACAAACTGAGAAACCGAACTAACAGGCAGGCTGACAAAACAAAGCAACTTTAGCAGCTGGGAAAAAATCACATACAGACATGAGAGATCACCAGAGCCAGGACCAGCTCCTTTCACAACCTGTCTCTGCTAAAACAGACCTCGGAACCAGAAGAAAAACAAGTCTGTTTATTATTCACTATTAATTCCAACTACAGAACAGATGCAAGCTCTCCCTTACCTGTGTTGTTTTGAACCGTATACATATTTCTTCTGTTCTGCATCATCTTATATTCATTCCCTTCTTTTCTTGCCCTTCGTTTGCCTAGTTCTGACGAATCCCTGAAGATGAAACAAATACCAACAGCTGCCATGGACAGTTCTCTGAGAAAAAGGACTGCCAGAGACACTGCCACACGCTTTCAGCCTGAGCGTGAAGTCGAACAATACCTACGAGAACGAGTTGTTCTGTGCCTCTGCGAGACGCAGCCGCTTGGCATGGTTCTTCCCTTGGTAGTGAGCCTGCGCCACGGCCGGAGAGCTGAACGAGGCGTCGCAGAGCTTGCAGTAATCATTCTCTGTGGCCAAGATCACTCGGCCACCTGGCTTACTGGATCCCATCTAGCAGCAAAGGGAGAGACAGCACGTGAAACACAAGAAGCTTAAATTGTTGAAATATTTGAGTCACAGAGACTGAGACCAGTAGCATCTTCAGCAGGCAGCAAGAGCTGCAATTAGAGCATACAGATTAGGACACTCACAAGTGCTCCCCAAACCATTCTTACAAGAACTTCATCTTCCCTGACTTAGCCTCTAGGAGAACTTGCAAATTCCTCAAGAATCAGGCAAATCCGGGGCCTCAGATGGAAAGGAAGGCAATCTGAACAAAACCCCTCTACCTCTGCAATAGCTACAGAGGCTCAATTACTTCACAGCAATGATTTAACTCCCCTACTCCTGACCTCTGGGAGCTGATGAACAGTGACTTTCACATGAAGGGAGACCCACTGAAAAATAAAGGTGCTCCTCTCTGCCATCTACAGAGTACTTAATGTCTCCACAGTGCCCTGTCTCTTCACAGCTCCCTGACCACACTGAGAAAAAAAACCAAACCAAACCAAACCAAACCCAAACAGCAGAGATGCCAAACTTCTGATCCTTTACACTTCAGGTAAGAGGACACCTGGATCAATACCTCAAAAGGAAGGGTCCAGCCTCACATGAGTAGCTCCTGCCATATGAAAGATATCTTACCAGTCTAGTCAGGCCACACACTGATTGGGCCAGCAGCCATGTCTCCTCAGTGTGTGTCATCCAGAGAAAAGTGCTTCGTAAACAGTGCAGCAGCAGTGAATCATACAGCCATGGCACTGTGGCACTTGCCAAGTCAAGTTTCTTTCACATTTCCTTTGATGCTTTTCAAGCTTAGATGCACACACACCCAATTCTGACTTCTATGTTACGTGAACCCTCATATGGCCCCAGAGTGGTCTTTTTCTTGTCATGGATCATTTTCTCCACCGAAAAAACTCATCAGATACCCTAGCAGGCACAGTACCCATGTCCCACTACCTGGGACTGGACCCCATGCCCTCTTGATCCAGTTCTGTGAGCTGCAAAGTCAATTTACACAGGACTAAGTCTCCCTCTGTGGACTCTGACAGTGAGTATAACAGTCTTCCATTTACAGCAAACGCTCTTGGCTTTTCTACACACAACAGAGGCTTATGCTCTGGGCAATGACAGGGACAACTTCGACCCCTGCAGCCCAGCTATGGTTCCCTGCACAGTCACTTGCAAAGGCCAGGTCAGCCGCTAACTCCCATTGCGATGGGAATGACATAAGTGACAAATTCTAGAAGAAGAAACCAAAATTTGCCTCTTTTGCCTCTAATATGCCCAACACAGAACGAATCTGGATCACTGAGGGAACAATCCATTCACCCTATGTACCGGAATGAGCACTTCAAAAGGAGCAACAAAAGAGGAATTGGGTAACAGCCCGAGGCCATGGGTGTAGGAGCACCTAAGCACTTTTTCCACCTAGGCTTCCCTCACACAATGGAGGGAATTGTGCAGAGCAGATGTCACACTCTCGTGTCCAAATCCAGCTCCAACAATGCTGTTTTATAACTGCCCTTAAAAAAAAACCATAGTCAGCGGCACATTGGACTTACCTAGGAATCAAAGTATTTGCCATGCAGAAACAGAAGACTTCAAGTCTAATATTCTGCTGCAAGGGCAGATCAATATCTGCACCTTCAAAGAAAAGCAAATGGCTCCTAACAGGCCACCTCCACCATCCTGTGCCATCATAAGGAAAATTCTTTCTCATCTTCTGCAGTAATCCTCCAAACCTGAGATCCAGTTCCCCTTACTGGGGGGTAGGTGACAAGTAAGCAGCATGATCTCAGCCACCTTCCTGTGCCTTACCTGAGCCGGATGGGAGACGACCTGAGGTGGGGCAGGCTCAACAGCATTACTCATCCTGGCAGGTGCCGGACAGCTATTGGCAGCATAGTAATTTCGGAGTTTCTTACTGTGGTTTTTACCCTGGAAAGACAACGCAAGTTAATTGCTGTCCTAATAATAGTATCCTACGCTGAAAGAAAAAGGATCCAGAGACTGGAATAAGTTGCCATGAAGATGGCATCTCAGGTAAAGGAGCCGTCACTCTAGAAATTAACAGCTCAGGGCTTGAGAGGTGCTGACATCTCCTCCTTTCTCTAAAATGCTCATCACCTAGCATGACTGGGCCTCATTTTCAACCAATTTTCTCAAATCTCAAAGTAAGTCTAAAATTAGTTCCTCAACCTGTTTCCATTTCACTTAAAATCAGTATTTCAAACATGAAACATTAACTGCTTTGGATAGCTTTTCAATAAGCCTGAACACAAACACACACTGCACAAAGTTGCAAGCATGAGTTAAAATATGGGATTGAATCCAAAAAACCCTGCTTCGTATTTTCTCTTGGAAAACGTATAGTACAGTTCTGTTTGGTGCTTTGGAAACCTGACAGAGCTACATGACAGTATGTATTTGCATTGTGGTTATATAGCAAGGCATATGCATAAATGCAAGTTAGGTATTATAAATGCACCTCTGTCCCCTCATGGCAGGAATAATGCAGAAATCAGACACTGAAGTGTAACACTAATTCTGCCTATCCCATTCACTGGCATGGTACCACTTTTTCAGGGTCAGCAGTAAATCTGAAGCCTGTCTATATCCTGGTGTCCCGAGGATATAGACAACCACCCTGTTGTATTTGCTGGTGGTGGTAGTTACTATCTCCACTTCTCACACAAACATAGCACTACTAAGAGAAGGTACTAGTAAAGTAGGGTAACATAAGACTATGATGTATTTGAACTCTCAACAAAGTATGCCATGCAAATAGTCCCTAACCTATTTCAGACAACTCAACCAGACCAGCCTCAACAAAATTAATTTGGTCTGAGCTGGCTCAGCTGATGCTGTCCAAGGCAGAAGAGAAACTTTGCATAAGTGGCCCCACCAGCAGCTCAGCTGTACCCATAACCTCAGGAAAGAGGCAGCAATGAGCATATGGCAGCAGCTCTCTTTCTTAACTGCACTGCTGGATCAGGCAGAAAACATTTGTCCAGGCCTTATAAAATCACATCTGTGGAATCAGAAGTTCTATCAGAGTGTCCAGGTGGAAAACAGATTGCATAGAAAAAAGGAAATTTATGAGTGTCTGTCTTTTCACCCATGTCATCTTAGTACTACTTTTCTGTCCCTGTGGACAAAGTTTTCTCAACGTGTTCCAGGGATGACACCTTAAATGAAAGCACTTCAGCACCTCTGGCCAAACAGCAAATTTAATTATGGTGAAGATACATCTACAGAGCAGTTCTAGCCACAGCTTCCACTCCATTAGATCATAGAATCAGATGATGCAGAGGTAGCTTCAGATGAGCTAACACAAATGCTGCTGCTGGTGTGCAGCCACCTCAACAAAGCACTTAAAAGCCCCTCAAGAAGCTAAGTTAGTCCCCGTGCATTAGCCCACACTTAGCTCTGTGCTACCACAGCAACACTACTGGCAGTGCACACACTGGCAGAGCTATGTCTGCACAAGCTGCAGAACCAGCAGCCCTGAAAGCTGTGCCTCCTGCGACTCCCCTTACCTGGTAGTGAGCCTGGGCTTGTTGTGCTGAATTCAGAGTGACATTGCAAAGCTTACAGCACAGAGGCTTACACAGTTCTTCCAGCATAGGGTCCTGCTCCACCACCTTTGCAAGGTCGTCTTCCTGTGTGTGATGAAAGGAAGGCCCCAGTCCGAGAGATTTTGGTGGGGACAGTGGTGAGCTGGCTCTTGGCCTTGTAGCCACTGACATAGGAAGAGATGAAGGTTTCTCAGAATGAGGAAGAAGTCCTGCTTGCTGTAGAAGAATCATTGGCCAGGAAGACCATGAACATGCTATGTCTGAAGGATGAGAAATAATCTTCAGATCTAGACCAGAGAAACACAAATGTTGAAATAAACTGCTAACAGAAACATTGACAATTCAGGGCACAACTCCTGTAACTTCACCGCCTCTACTTTTTGCCTTTTCACAATGCCAAGCAGGACATAGTCAGCTTATAATGCTTTACCCAACAGTACGAGCAGCACCCCAGACAGCCAGTGCCAGATTCAAAGATATGTATAAACAAGTAGGTTGAAATCCAAAATGTAGCTGTTAGCATCCCACAGCACCCTCCTGGAGAGCTGAAGATTCCTAACCACCCCTGGTACCTGACCCACAGCAGGCATGGCCCACTGCTCCACGACCACTGGACGATGACGCACAACATGCACGGCACATACAGCTCTGTTAACGGCAATGGGGGGATACAACCATCAGCTCCATCCTCTGCATACAGCCCAACAACAAGCTCACACTTCAAAATATTATAGACACTAAATGTATTACTACTGCTGATGACTCAAAAAGAACCCAAATATTTCAAAGTAGATAACTTTTTAACCATAGGTTTATCATAAAATACATACACACAAGGAAACATATCCCTCAAATATTCACAAAGACCTTCCCGAGGAAATATATTCTACAGTTCCCTTTTTTCAAGTAAGTGAACAAAAAGTGAAGAGTGAGAACCAAGGCAAGCACACCTTGTTGTGCACAGTCAGCTCCCAAGGGTTCTTCTCCATGGTCCTGC